AGTGTGTTTGATTTACATGCATTGCTTATCTTGAATTGGGATTATCTAAACATTGATTTTATCTTTCCATACAAACCCTAATTTACTAGCATTGATATGAAAGCGATAAATTATGGAAAGTAAAATTACTACGCTATTACATCATTATGGGGATGGGGTATACAAATTTACAAATGGAGATTGCAAGAAAATTAAACCCTAATTACTATTACAAGGCTTTGACAATTACATAATTTATAATGCAAAAATAAAATATGCAAGAAGATGTAAAGTGAGAGAAATTGCTTTTTAGGATTTTTTTTTTGTAGAAAAAAGGTTTTGTAATTAATTTCATTGAAGAAAAACCTAAGTCTAAGTTAATTGTTTAGAAAAGTATTTTTGAGGTTTCATTTGAACAAAAAGGTTTTATAAAGTTAGGTCATTTCCAAGCAATGCAATATGTCCAAAATAACCTAAAAAATCTCCAAAATCAAGAAATTTGGTGCCCGAGCTGACACGGGTCGTGTCAGTGGACACGGGCACCCGTGTCAGGACATGTCCATGACTTTTCTGCATTCTTTTTTATTCCAGACAATCTGACACGGGCACCCGTATCAGCCCCTGTCCATCTTTTTCTACTCGTTTATGTACCAGTAACATTGACACGGGCCGTGTAGTTTGACACGGGCACCCGTGTCAGCCTTTGTCCCTGCACATTATCATGTTTTTCAACCCAACTAAGCTGACACGGGCTGTGTCGTGTGACACGGGCATCCGTGTCAGCCTCTGGTCTGGCTTTTTGTTAGTTTTTTCTCTTTGATCTATCTTGTTATATCTTTTGAGCCCAAAAGCAAATGATGTATGAACAATGATATCACAGTTTGAGAAAGTTTACCTCTCAAAGCGGAAGCTTTAGAACACATACGGATGTTTACGAGTGTAAAATGGTGATTGATTGAGCTCTTTTGAACCTTCTTGAAGTAACTCCAACCTTCCTTTTGTACTGAAAATGGTTGAATTGCTCCAACCAAGTCAAGTTGCAATGTATATTTTTTGAGTTTAGAAGATGGTGGTAATGATGTTACAGAAGTTGTTCTTATGTTTGAACAACTTCTATATGGTGTATATGAAGTGTTTGGATGGTTTGCTTGGAGAAAACTTGCAAGGTATGAGATTCAAAGATTTGGACTTCAAAGCTCAAAAATGGAGGTTTTGTGTACAAATCTGGTTTTTGACCGCAAAAATGATTTTGAGTGTTAGTTTCCCCTCCTATTTTTCTGGCCTCTCTATTCATAGAGAAGGTTTGAGACTTGAGAAAACTCAGATTTTGGATCACATGTTATGGCTAGGTTAGATTGTACATGAAGCAAGCTTGAAGAACATGTTTCTAATGCTTGTACCAAGCTATCTAAAGTGGTTGATCACTTTAAACATGTTTATTCTGACTTGTAGAAGTTGAGTGTGATTATAACAACAAGTTAGAGGCTCAAGAAATTGACTTTATGATTAAAGTGAACTTTGCAAGAATGGCAATGGTGCCTTTGTGCCAAAAATGGAAAGATCACTTGGATAATGCTTAAACCAAATGGACCATAGCTCAAAAGTTTGTGTAAGCATTAAATTATGGTAAGATTTGCAAGTCAAAAGGCTTGCAAAGTAAGATTATGCAGGACATCACGCCTATTGGATTATGTGTTCTTCAACAAAAATGGCTTGTAATTCAAGAATGAATGCCCAACTTCAGGCCCTTGAATCTCCTAGCTCAAATATGATAAATTCAAGCTCTTGAATGTTTTGGAAAGCTTGAAACACACTATATAACTTTCATGTTGGCCATTTTGACAAAATCATCTTGTAACTATGTAAAAAAATGCCAAGAAGTTGGGATAAAATCCTGACCAAAACTGCTGAAAATTTCTCTAAGTGTTTATTCAAAAATGCCATGACTTCATGAATTTATAACTTAAAATCTAGGCATTTATAGGAGAAGTTGTGTAAAGCAATGTTGTAGATCTCATGGAGATCTACAACTTTCATGTTGAAAGTTTCTTTTGAATCATCTTGCATCATGGTGAAAAATTGGCTCAAAGTTGTAAAAAAAAAAAGAAGTTTTCAACACTTAGAAAAATTTCTAAGTTTGAAAACTTTGACTTTTCAAAATGAAATCTTGGATATTTGATTTCTTGATGAACAAGTTTCATATTTTGACATGTTTTGATGAATTGTGATTTTTGACACTTGATTTTGACCAAAAAGTCAAAGTTTGACTTTTCAGTGTACAATTGACTTTGATCAGTTGACTGAAAATCCACTATCAATCCAATTGATCTTGAGCAATATTTTGAGTCATGCCATTAATTCAAAATGGTGCAATTGAACTTTTGAGATCATGCTTCAAACCAATTGACCAATTGCTAAGTCAAAAATCAGAAATTGTCCTTTCTCAGTCAAAACCCTAATTTTGACCATTTTGCCCTTTTGATGATTTGATCAAATTTCTTGAGGAATTATGGTCCAAACTTGATCAAATGATACATATGAGTTTATAATATTGACGTGGATAAAAAATTATGAAGTTTGACTGTAAATTGGCCATAGTTGACTTTTTCCCCAATACAACTGATTTTTAGGTCAACTGCTTAATTGACTGAGCAAAAATGTGATCCAAGACTTGAAACTTGACATGAGTAATTTTGGGGATCCATAATGATCTGTGAAAATCACATGAAGCATTGAGAGTCCAATTATCCTTGTGCAATCTCAAACTCTAATTTGGGTCATCAGTGCTTAAGGAGGTGTCTTGAGCTGATCAACCCCAGTGCAGTCTTGAACCAAGAGAGATCTTTGTGAGAAAAATATTTGATAAATGAGAGGGAAAATTTTGGGGTACAACAATATGCAATGATGCAAATAAAGGTGGGATCTTAGGGGTAAAAATTAGGGCATAAGAAGGATTTCTACATAAATCTGGACTAGATTACTTTGAAGTGTTTGCACCTATAGCTAGACATGAAACAATCATATTTGTGATTGCTATAGCTGCAAATAGGAATTTCCCTCTAATACATTTAGGTGTGAAGTATGCATTTTCGAACGACCCATTACAAAAATAGGTATACATATTACAACCTCTTAGATTTGTGAAAAAGAATTAGAAAGGGATGATGTACAAGTTACATAAAAGTGTTGTATGGACTAAAACAAACTCCTAGAGCTTGGAATCTGAAAACTGATTCATTTTTTAAGCTACAAGGATTTAGAAAGTGTGAGATGGAGTATGCCTTTTATGTGCAACATACTTATGGAGGAAATATGATTTTGGTGTCTCTATGTTGATGACATATTGCTAATAGGAAGCTATCCAGAAGAGATAATCAAGTTCAAGAAGGTGATGATGAATGAGTTCGAGATGACTAATGTAACACCTGGTTAAAATCAATAAAGTCGTCATTATCATTTATTCGTCCTAAGGACATGGAAAATAATAGGAAAAAACCTAAAATAGGGATCAGACGGTCGTTGCAACCAAATTAAGGGTTCGGAAGTCGGTTAAGCAAGAGGAAAGTGTTAGGCACCCCTCATTTCCTTTGTACTCAAGGGGAACCTTCTCTAGATCTATGGTTAAGTGTGTTTTCTTCTAACGGTTTCATGCTTTGTTTCTTCATTCATAAATACAAGGGAAAGGAAGTGGTCATGGTTAGTAGTTAGTGACTCGCTAAAGCATCGCGTCTTATGCCTATGTATTCATCAAGATGACATCAGAGTCCACGTAATTCGCATGAGTTTGGGTAATATCTTTTTATGAAATTAAATTTGGTCACCTTTAAGAGATAGACTTATGTGTCCTCGTATCGTAGAGACGGATAGTTAATTTCTCGTTCGCGTTAAAAAATATCAATCTAATTCCTTTTTTTTTCAAATTTGTCATTTTTATTAGGTTAGTAGAAAAAATTTAAATTGGTAAGATAGTTTAACCTAAACTAAATGGAAAACAAGTCTTAAGTTTAATTTTAAAAAAAAAAATTAATCCTAAGTTAACTAATCTAACTTAATTTTAAATTAATCTAAAACCCTAATTACATATTAGCCTAAAGTCGACTTAATTATAAAACTAATTAATCCTAAAATTAACCTAATTCTAAAATCAATTAACAAAAGTATTTTTTAAGATTATCGTGTTTCTAGCACTCACTTATTTCTAAGTAAAAGGGCCAAACCTATTATGGTGTTATTTATTATTATGACAATAAAAGAAGACAATGGCCCTAATTTCTAAATACTTTAGTTAATGAATAAACAAAAAATAATAATTAAAAATCAAGTAGTAAACAAGACAAAGGCGCTCCAGGAAGTTAAAATATGAACTCTATCAAGACTAAGAAAATCCTAAAATTCTACACTAGAGAAGACAAAGAAAACTAACTATTAAAAATTAAAGACATTTTCTTTTCATTTGATACCCTAATGTCTCAATGAGACTACAATATATAATATTTCTAGTGGATAACAAACTAAAAGGCCCAAATAAATAATAATACAAATAAGGTTACTATTTATATAAATTCTTAATAAACTTAAATATTAAATTTTATTCTCTATCATTGTCGCGAGGTTTACTTGAACCTTATCCTCAAAGTTCAAAAAGAAATCTAGAGATTATTTTTAATATGAGTGGGACAACTTCATGATAGTGGTAGCAGAAAACTCAATACTCAAACAAGATGGAAGCATGCAGCTGCAACTATAGTGAGGAAATATTTGAGCTCCATATTATTGCTTCCTTCCATCTCAACCAAAGAAATGATGCAAAAGTCCAAAATAGAACTTGTCTTTATATTGGCCAATTGAAGACAACACTTTATATTGGTCAATTAAGGACAACACTGCACCAATTCTTTCAACAAATTGAATCATGAAGGATTTTAAGAAAACAACCCCCAGGATCCCATTGTTTGTAGTGTAGATCACCAATAATCGTTGGATCCAGTAGCATAGTCACTAATATAGCAACTACACCATGGTTATTCATACACCGAAGAAACATGTCCTTTAGGTTTGTAAGTTTTCCTAAAGTATGACTTTTGTTGAACAATAAAGAACTTCATAGTGAAAATCTTCAACAGACTATCAATTAGAATGATGTGAATGTGCTCATCACACTTCACAATATTATGAACACAATAGACACCTAAGTGTTTATCATCAAAGTATACAACTCTCTTTTTGGGCACCATTATTTTTTCAAATTTGCCTAGTTGTCTTGCAAAGCCAAACTTATCCAAAGGAGCTTTATACTGTGAATCAAGGAGCAGTACAGTGGCATGAGAGAAGCATATTACTTTCTTGAATATTTGATCCATAAATAGATAGCTATCCAATTGAGAAAATTCAGAATGGCATTCACTTTCAAATATCACCTTCCAAGTAGGCAAGCCAGGATATGTAATATGGCGGGGTGATATCAATTCAAAAGTAATAATGCAAAATTTTACAAGTTCCTTGGCTGCACCATGATAAAAGTCATATAAATAGTGTAAAATGTAAACACAATTTTGTGCATGTTCCAATAAGAATTCCTTGGACAATACTACTAGAAGGATCCATGAATCCTCAACACCATAACAAAGCAAGGAAAAATGAGTTTACTTGCCACCCTAGGATTTGCAGTATGCATCACACAAGTGTTTAATGTGATAACAACTTTGATAGGAAGAAAGAGCAAACTGCAGTCCCTCTTAAGAATTTGATCAAACATGTTTCTTGCACTATTGAGGTGATCAATTTGGCAAACTATATTGAATATATCAGTTCCAATTGAGGCAAAAAAAATTGAGCTCAAGCCAAATTTCACTAGATAGAGAACAACTTTGACAAAAATCAAAATTATGAAACAAAATAAAAATATCATTATCAAGCTCAATAATGATTACCTCTTTCTCTTCCTTCTCCGGACAGTGATGAATGAATTGTTTTGAAAAACATGACAGAAACAATGACGATGTTTGAATGACAATCTGATTTGGTGGTCTTGGTGGTGGTGGCGGAATAGCCGATGGTCTTCTGACTTTGGCTCCATCTTGTACAACTTCATCTATAGCTGCAACAACATCTGCCATAGTTCCCATTCAGGTTTGAAGTGCCAAAGAAAAGGATGAATAAACGATTCCCAACTTGCCATTAGATGATGTTGGTTTAAGAATTCTAGTTTTGGAAAGATTTGGTGATTGTCATGGATTATGAAAGGGTTGAATTTGTGTTTTGATTTTGTATTTTGGAATTGATTGGAGTTTATTGCAGCTTTGTGAAGATTGAATTTTGTGTGAGGTTTGAACACGATTTCTGTTGACTAGAAAAGGAGGAGAATGATAACAAAGAAACTATTAAACTTAAAAGTTAACGGATCCTAATGTATAAATGAATATAATAATAATAATAATAATAACAATCCAATACTAAAGATGGTAGAAACAATGATATTAAAATAAAATTGACTATTTTTTGGATTTTATTTATTTATTTTCTACAATAAAGATAAAAAAGAAAATATAAAAATATAAGCTTCTAACTAAAAATTATAATAAAAATGTAAATTAAAAGTGAAAATAAAAGAAATCAAAATTTGAGGTAGATAAGGTTTGAACTCAATACCTCTTCTTCGTAATCTCATGTTCTCTATCAATGCACCAACCTCAATTATTCATATTGAAGCAGTGTTAGTAAGTATATAAAGGATGGACGAATTTATGGTATGTCAGTAGGTTCAAACTCTTATACATTTGATTTCCATATCATCCCCTCTGACCGGGGAAAGCCAAAATCACAAGAAAGTCTTGATCACGTGCCTTATGAACTTAATGAAATGAATGATTGTGATGACCTAGTGAAATATGCATTTGAATGTGAAACACAAGTGTTGCGACTGATTTTAAAATAAGAGTCGCCACCCTTAAGTTTTATCCTAAGGAAAGAATATAAAGGAATAACCATAACGTTAGAGATTCTAGGTCTTTTGGACTCGGTTCTAGACGAAGGAAAGGTGTTAGACACCCCCTCATCTACCTTGTTCATAAGGATACTAGGGTTAGAAACGCGATTTTTAGGGAATAGAGTTTTAATATTTTATTAGGGGAACTCGCCACGATTTTAATCGTATGCCTACGTATCCTCTTAGGAGGAATCAAAGTCTCATTTCGTAGTTCGCATGGCTTTGTGTTTTTTATGGATTACGCAGATATTTTAATTTCCCTCGCAATTAGCCCGAGTGTGTAAATAGCAAAAAGTTTGGACTAAGCGCACAGTTGATTAAAATATGCTTCGTAAACCTTTTCTAAAAATTAATTGTTGAATTAATTTATTATGAAAAATAATTTGATGTTTGTTAAATATTTTTTAAAGGTGTTAATTATTAAAAAAATCTTATTTAAAATGCATGGTAAAAGATATTTTAATGCAATAACTAATTTATATAAATCTTTATAAGAACAAAAAATATTTGATTTCATAATAATTATAAAATAGAAAAAAAAATAAAAAATAAGTAAATTTCAGAGGGGGTGTTAACTAGGTTGAGGCAGTAAAATAGGGGGTGCTAACAATAAGGGCCTGAATCCAGATATTGAATTCAGGCCCAAAAAGGCGGGAGGTGAGTTTTTTGTTCACACAGTAAAAAGAAGGGTGTATAAGGAATAGGACCTAAGTTCAGATATTGAATCGGGCTCAATAGGCTAGGGGTGCAACGTTCTTACTCAGTTTAGCAAAATGACAAAGCAGAGGTGTATTTGGCAATCAGCTTGGCCCAACGGTGTTTGAGTCCATATGGACTGGTTGCAGGTGAGCGCACAGTTGCTACCATGGGCATGCGTGTTTGTGACGTGTGATGTGAATCATGTAGTGATCATTAGGGGAGAATGGTAACAAAGTAGGGTGACGCGTACTGGAATATGCCATGTTATATAATTTTTTTATCCAACAAAAATTCATTTCATTTCCTCTTTCTCTCTGTTTCTTATCTCTCTCTGTTCTCTCTTCTTTCCCAACAAAAAAACACAACTCTATTTTAGGGCCTCTGCCGCCGTGTAATAACTACAACCCTAAAATCCTAAACAGAACCTGTTTCCCCCAATCAACAGCAAACGGTTTACACAAAAAAGCTAAGTAAAGTTTCAAGGGTTATCGTCCTAGCCGTGTATCTTCGATTTTGCTCCTCTGATTCTGGTTTTCTAATCTCGTCTCCTTTGTTTCGGAGGTACCGATGATGATGACGATGATGGAACTGACGGAAGATTTGAGCGGCAGAGGACGAAGAATTTAGGGTTTCAGATGTTGAAACCCTAAATCTTTGTAAAAGGGAAGCTTCGAGAAACCTTAGGCGGTGATGATGAAGATTCTTCTACCCCTTATGTTAAACTTTTGGACAATTTTTTTCCTCTTTGTCAATTTTCTTCTCCCTTTTCTGTTTTTAGTTTTAGGTATTTATAGCCTTTTAGATGTAGAACGAATTAGGAATTTTTGTTAGATTAGCGTTACAAATATGTGATTGAGAAGAAATTAACTTGTAGATTGATTCAATTTTGATTGTAATTGATACGATTTTGATTTGTTTTTTGCATCTGTGTAATATAATTTAACATTCAATTTGATTTGTTATAATCCGATATATGATTCTGACTTGATACAGATTTGTTTTGATTTTGCGTTTAAGCGTTTTTTTCCAATTTCTGGGCTTCGTATGTTTCTGGGCTTAATGAAGATTAGGGTAAAAGATGAGGATGATGGACATAGAAACAACGCTGTTGGGTTGGGTTTTGGGTTTGAAGCCCAAATCTTAACCCGATCAAATATTTAGAATAAAAATATTTAATTTACTAAAACTATAATAATTATAATAATAATAATAATAATATGTAATTAAAAATAATTCTAATAGTAATAATAATCTATATAATAATGATACAAATTACTATGTTAACAATAATATTTAATAATTTTAATAATATTGTTTACCATAATCAGATATTAATTATGATAAAAAATAGTAATAATAATATAGTTATAATAATAGAGTTGATAAATAAATAACAATATATCATAGTAAATCAGTACAAAAACGGAAGTGGATCATGGTTAAGAAGAGAAACGGGCTTTCAAAAACATGACCATATATGGGCCTATCTGATCAAAAAACATACATCCCCATTATTGAAAACTAGCCAAAAACCTTAACGGGACATCAAGTTTTAATCTCATTGGGTTTTAAACAAAATGAATTGTTTTTATACATCATTCCGAAAAAAGAAAGAAACCTTAATGTGTCTTAATAAAAAAGATTTGTTCACACCTCCTTAGTTAAATCTGATAGTGAGAAAAAGAGACATATTTCGAACATTCACGATGGAATATCCAAAATAACCCAAAAATTTACGCTCAGGATAACGCAAAGGTGTAAAAACACCGATAACTGTATTTTCTATTTTCCGAAATTTTGTGGCATCAAACAAATTGGATTGACTTGCATGTATCATGATCAAAGTGGGGAAGACTAGTAAATATTAGACCTTACCAACGAGTGTCAGTAGGAACTGAACTTGAAAGATAGGCCGATAAAAATTGGAATTGAATGGTAGACTAATAAAAATTAGAACTAACCCAAGAGGACTAGTAGATACTAGGTTCTAGAAGAATGTGCCAGGACGAAACTGGTGCACAAACAAGATAACAAGTAGAAACTCAACCCAAAAAGACTATTAGATACTAGACTCTAAAGATACCAATAGATATTGGATCCAAAAGAGTATACCAGTAGAAACAGATCTTGATCACAAAGGGATAATAGACTCTGAACCAAACCATTAGAACATTAGGCAAACACTGGGTAATCGAGTAAATGTAACGAGTAGAGACTCGCTCTTAAAAGTACTATAAAGAATGTGTCAGCTAGAAAACTGATGCACAAATAAGGTAGAAGATAGACACTCGACCTAAGAGTAACTAGTAGATACTAGACTTGGAAGTACTCAATAAGATACCAATAGATATTTGGTCCAAACCTATGTGACTAGAAAGTGCGCGAACTTCAATAACACCTGCTGGTCTCGACCAAGGATAAACAGTAGATACTGAAACTAACTGATCGGGAAAATAGCAAGTGTACTATTTTAAACTGATGTAGTAATAATGGGTTTACCCCAAAGATCGATCTCAAGGAGTGCGTAGTAAATACTAAGTTCCCCAGTAGTTCAATTGAACAAAATAATTGGTTGGTTTGTTTTGATGAAATCTTTGCACAAAGCAATAATGCGAAAATAACTTGACTTTTCTTTAGAAGAACAAAACATGCTAGGGGAAGTGGTTGACCTGGATTACAAAGATATGAATTCTAATGCTCTTAACGGTTAAACTTATCTTTTTCAATTACCAACCTCTAGATTGTTTTTCCCTATGTCCGTAGTGAAAAACCCTTGAACATTCACCCTTAATCCCAATACCCATGAAGATAAAAAGTGAATTTAAGCAATTATAATAACAAGGTTGTCTATGGTAATTATAGGGTACCCCTATTCCTAGGTCGTATCTACTATAATCTAATTATGCAAAAAACCTAACAACTACAGTCCTGCACTTGTTAGCCATAGATCATTCCCAATTTTACCAAAAGAGAAAGCATAAACACAATGCATAATTAAATTGAAAACCATGAATTCAAACTTTGATTAACTTATAAATTCATATCCGTTGCATAAATCGATTCAGGACCACCCCCTAACATTGGGGGGTTTAGCCTCTCATAATATTCAAGATAGACATAATTAAGAAGTTAAACATTACAAGAATAAAGGTGGACTTTGATATTCAATGGTGGAAACCCTTGAATCCCTCCATATCCAATAACCTTGATGAAGCAATCTCCTCTCTTGTGTGTTCTCTATTGTATGATGCCCAAAAAAAAGGTCCCTTCCTATCACTCAAAAACTCAAATAAATACC